GTATCAAAGAGATATTAATTATATATTTCATAAAGATTTATCGAAAATCATTCCACGTTCATAATAAGTTCATACTTTATTTTATTTATATGAAAACAATAAATTATAAAATTTGGTTTGACATAATAACTTACCATTTATTTGTGGAATCATATATTCCGTAAGAGTAAATTTTTTATATGAGACTAATGTCAACAAGATGTGAATTACTACAAGTTTGATAAATAATTTATTTCTTTTTATTTGGTCAAAGTAATGCACAATAATTTTTTTCAAACAACAAGTTTGATAAATAACTGAGTTCCAAATTGCTCACTTCTAAGCATAGCCTGTCTATTTTTTAAAACAATAGAAATTTATTTCAATTTTTATGCGGATTTGGAAACAATAATCGATCTTATTTGAATAATAAATTTTATACCCTTGTATAAATCTTTTTATTTTCGTGTTGCTTTGTTTGTAATTAGCTCAACACCAATATTCAATTAAAGAAATGTAACATATTCAAATGCATACGTAAAATGTAACATCTAAATACATAGGTGGTGGAGTGGTTGTGGTGGTGGTGGTGGAGTGATTGTGGTGGATTAGGGGTAGTGGTGGAGCGGTGGTGGTGGTTGAGGTGGTGGTGAGGTTGGTGGAGCAGTGATGGTGACGGTGATGATGGATTAGTGGTGGTGATTTTGATGGAGCGGTGGTGGTGATGGCTAAGGTGGTGGTGGTGATATAATGGTTGAGGGGGTGGTGGTGGTGATGCAGTGGTAGTGCAACGGTGATGGAGGTTGTGGTGGTGAGATGGTAGTGTTAAATAGCCTTAAATGGTAAAATTTTAATTGGGATAGTTTGATGTATGGACCATACATTTGCTTGATGTATTCTCCATTACATTTGTTTGATGTAATGAACAATACATGTATTTTTTTATGTAATAAATAATACATCAATTTAAGTAATGAAGATTACATATGCAATCTCAATTACATTACATTGTCCAAAAAAAGTTTAACCAAACAATGTAATCAATCATGTAATTACTCATTGGTGATCATACATATGTGAGATGAGAGCTTTCGCTGGGGAGTGGGCATAAGGACATCGCCGAGTAATAAGATATGACGTATGTTATAATGAATGTTCTCTTATATAACATATGGTAACGCATAATTCTCTTGCGTTGTTAATTTAACAAATGATTTGTGAGTAATAGGTGTTGGATAGCATAATGCAGGCCTTAGGTAAATTTCGCGTTAGAAGAAACAAACTTGGAGGAACACCAACAGCAAAGAACTTTGTTTCTCTATCGTATTGCCAATTTGGCACCATAAGCAAATTAGCTTGAATTATTACTACCATATACATTCTCTGTTTTTTGATTAATTGAAACAATTACCATAGTATTATTTTTTATGTAATAAATAATATCAAATTTAAAGGTAATGAAGATTACAATATATTGAGCAATCTCAATTACTCATTGGACAATACATGTATTTTTTTATGTAATAAATAATACATCAATTTAAATAATGAAGATTACATATGCAATCTCAATTACATTACATTGTCCAAAAAAAGTTTAACCAAACAATGTAATCAATCATGTAATGTAATCCCCACTCCATTACATGGTTGATTACATCAAACTAAACATGGCCTAAAGTCTCTCCTAATTGTCATAGTATACAATATTTTAATTATTGTTAAGAATTTTTGATATTTTCAAGCACAATAAATAATATGAATTTTTATTAAATAATTATTTTGATTTTATTTTTCTTTTAAACATAATAAAAATGGATAATATCTGAAATGACCCGATCCGCTCCGACATCCGATCTGATCTGATCCCAATTCGAGTGGAGCGGATATAGACATGGATATATGAATATCTTCGCGGATCGGATATGGATTTTGCATAATCCGATCATAATTCAATCCATGATCATTCCTAGGTTCAATGGTGAATGGATCGGGTCACAGCACGACGAACTAGTCCACAACTTATAATATTTACTAAATTAATAAGATCGGATATGGATTTTGCATAATCCGATCATAATTCAATCCATGATCATTCTTAGGTTCAATGGTGAATGGATCGGGTCACAGCACGACGAACTAGTCCACAACTTATAATATTTACTAAATTAATAAATAATGAAGAAAAAGAAGACATGAAAATGTTTTTTTCTTCCTTCAACGTGTTTACAATTTTCACAATTCAAAGAGGTTTTATACTAACTTGCAACAAACTACTTTTCACAATTTTTTTATAACATTTAAAAAATAAGTCAACAGCAATTTTCTAGTCAAAGAAGACATTTTGTTTAGTAAAACAATTTTCAAGTATTACAAATTTATTATAATCTTATAAATATTTATTTTTTTAATTTATTAATTATTAATGGTCATTACCATCAATCAACGTTCAACATCAATGGCAATGTCCGTTGGTCACAACCATGGTCAACATCCATCATTAACCACCACCACGGTCATGGTCGATGATTATATTTTGCTTTTTTTGTATTTTTCTGATATTTAACATTAAATTTTTAAAACATGAAATTTCTACCATTATAAATATTTTTATGGGCTATCAATTAAGGATTTCAGTATTTTCTGAACTAATTTTCAATATTGCAATAAAACAACAGAAAATAACTTATTTGGAAAAAATTTTCAAGGAAAACATTTTCTTTAAATAATATTTTTCTAATATAAATTATTTTTCAAAAACAAATGTAGGCTTCAAACTTTTCTACTAATATTTTTAATAAAAAAAATAAAAGTTATCGGAAAATATACAACAAAGAGTTTTGGCTACTATTGGATCCATAAAAATTCATTTACTCTCTCGTTTGGAAAAAATGAATTTCACACAATTTTAGGTAATTTATTTTAAAATCTAAATTTTGATGTTTATATTGAAAAAAAATGTAAATTTCAATTTTACCAATTCAATTCTGTAAAATTGTGTATAATTAGATCAAATTTTATTAATTGTACGCCCTCACAATGTATGAGCTAATATTTCTAAATAATTGATACAAATTAAATTTGATTAAATAATAAGCACGTCTACTCTAGCGAATTGGTAAGTAGCTTAGCCATAGAATATATATGGTTTAAATTAAATTAATTGAGAAGATTGTATGTGAGCCCGGTAAACGAGATTGCTGATACATTTTAATTAATTAGTAAAAACATTAATGTATTAATTTTTTTCTAAGAAATTTTAATGGAAGTAAAATCAAAAACAGAGTTTTAGGTACTAATGTCCGGAATCCATAAGACAAATACCACTTTTTCGGGTATACTCTCTCTGTTTGGAACAAAATGCATCAGTCTTGCAAATTGTTCACAGCTATTTCTGAGGAGTAATGTTAATTTTTACAAATTTCCAGAGATTTATTATGTTTTGTCTATTCAAAAAGTAAAACATAGTAACTTTTCAATGTTAGCCATTATGTGCTATAATTCTGTAAAAACTTTGTATAATTAGATGCGAGAAATTTATGATTTAATTAGTAACACGCCCTCTACAATTGTATGGCTAATATTTCTAAAGTAATATGATGGGACAATTATAATTTGATTGAAAATTATAAAATAGGAGATTATAAATATGTGAATAAAAATAGATATTTTTATGTCCATTCCACATTCTAGGGACATATGTCACGGTTGGGCTCGATGATTATTTTTGGTTAAGCGTCATTGGTCTCCAGTATTCATATAACCTACTCAACGTGGAGGACATCTTGAAATTAATAAATGGGAATATCGCTTCCCTTTGGAAAGGACAGCTATGCGCGCGAGCCGAACTACTAAATCTGTGAACGCAAAAAAACATATTTTATAGGACTGACGACAAAGGTTCCCGACTTTTTTACTATAAATTATAAAAAATGAATAAAAAGACCTTCTCAAAACACCTAAGTGAGATACATAATATTGCCTTGATCCAATAAATTAAAATACTAATTAAGCCAATAATATATAAAGTAATTTGACTTTTTTAAATTTAAACATACAAGACTTACCTTGCAGATACCATTATAGACTCTACATAAAATAGAATATCACTTTTTCCTAGAAATAATATTAAATATAAATACAATCATTGCACAAGTTAATTCGTTAATCGATTTTGTTTTGTTAATTATCGTAAATAAAATATCATACATTGATATTTATATAGGATAATAAATAAAAAAACTCTGAACTAAACTATAAAGTAAAGATTATACTTTAGAGAATAATAATATTACACTAACACTCCTAAATCGAAACTCTCTAAAAAACCACTACTAATTTATGAAGTTTAATACACATTAATCTTCTTAAAAATATTCAAGTCCTGCTACTAGATTCAAAAAATCGTTTTGGAGACCTGTATCAAAATAGTTTGGATTGAGAGATTTCTCCAATTAATCCCAACCTCTTCCTGTTACATTGAATATTGATAATAAAATAAAAAAATATGATAAATATATAAATTAATATATATAAATAAATCCTAAAAATCGAACTCTAAAACTACTTGATTCCATTATCCCTAAAAGTCCTCAACAGTAAAACGTTTTGGAGACTTTCAAAATAGTGGAGAGATTCTCTCCATTATCCCACCTCTCCTGTCCCCATGTAAGGCATTGAAACAAATATAGAAACACACAGTTTTTTCTAATTATCCATATTCTCCCGAAAGATCAAACTCAGTGTCACGGTCCAAAACTTGGGCCAAACCAGCACTAGAACATAAGTAAACTTAAGGCCTCCTAAACCTATAGTAAGCCTAATTCATATGAATCCATTTCTTCAAACCAATTCTAGAAACAATAAGCACGTAATATGACGTTAATAAATTATATTGTATATTCATATCTCTAGCCCAACTTTCATTTTTTAAATAATTCATAATTCAGCCCTGTATTTTACATATTATTAACATCACTTATAATATGGGAAAACTGGTCCACCATCCCTTGAAAAGACAATTAGAAAATCCATAGATTTATTGAGCAGAACATTGATAAATTTTACATATCGAATTGTGACACAAACATCCTAACTGTGGAGCTCATTAAATAAACACGATTATATTTCTAAACACAAGACTATATATTTGAGAATTATCAAAAAGTCAAAAACTACTGCCATAACTCTGTGGAGAAGGAAGCAGAGATTGTCCGGACCAGTATAGTGTCTATCTCCTAGGAAAATTAAGGGACCAGTATAGTGTCTATCTCCTAGGAAAATTAAGGAAGGGGGTGAATTTAACAAACTTAGTGAATAATAATAAATAATGCCTTACCCAAACAATCACACAAGATGCTTTCCACATTTATATAATGAACACACATTCAATCAAGCATATGTTACAACATCATCATCTATAAATAACATCACCTTCAAGTAATCACATAAAATGAAGACTGTTCAGTGGTGTCACAAAACCCCCAACAATCCATCCTTGCACATAGTCTGTCCTCTTATACGTGTACAACAGGCAGCCAATCCCCCAGCCAATTGGGCTAATCCTCACTTGACCAGTGCTCTCATTGTTTTTCCATCATCTCTTTCTTTTCGTTGTAGATCAATATGCACATATGAATATAATTGAGAAATATATATATATATATATATATAATACTCGTGTATATATTATTATAATTTTTAAGGTGAATAGTGTAAGTAAATCTTAATAATATTGCATTAAAAGAATGAAAGTCGAATATCATTTGTATATATTCATATATCATGAAATGGACGGTGCATGCATGCAAATAATAGTATGCATTATTTATTATTACTCACAATGATAAAAGAAAGAGCAAGTTTTAACTTAGATTCTGACTAACAAGAGTGGTAGACAGACTCAACAATCTAGATAAAATATAAATATAAAGAACAAAACTGCATTAAACATATAACTTTATTTAAATAAGAAATTAAAGAATTAATATAAATTTCATCTATACTTCTGACAACATTTCCTTTAAAATAAGGCTTTCAACTTATTCAAGTTCTAGCCATTTAATATACTTATTGATTGTTATACACATAGATCATCTATGGAGCAATCAATATTCCAACGTCCAACCACCACAAATAATAATTTTATAATCAACTCTTAGTTTATAGATTAAAATGACCTTCAATCTGATCCCAATAAATCCTTGTATATCGCTACTTTTATCTCAATATAATTTACTTATTTAATCGCTACTTTTATCTCAATGCTACTTTTATCTCAATATAATTTACTTATTTAATCCGTCGTCAAACAATAGATCCTTTATATATATAAATATAAATAATTCTTTATTTAATTAACTTTACCCAAAATATAATTTCTTTTAACGAAATATTAAAATTAATACTTCTTTTAGCTTGTCATCTTAATTCACATAATATAACCTCAATTTCAAAATAACTGCTATTTTCCCATCAAATTAATTCTCTTTTTCTTAAATTATCTTTCGTCTTCAAAATAATTCCTTAAGTACTTAATTTATTTTTTTATTTAATTCTTAATCCTTAATAGTCACAAGCTTAGACACGAATATATATTTATATAATGAAACTAAAGTCCAAAATAATTTAGTTATATTTCTAACTCTTTTCCTTTTTAAGCTGTTTTAATTTCATACTACAACTCTATATTTATAAAATCCTAAATTAATTTACATAACAATAATTAAAATTTATTTTAATTTATTAGAGTTTTCTAATCAAATCAATACTTGTGAAGTATATTGAAAAATATTAAAAATTAAATTACCTAGCCACAAAATGCTAGAAATTAATTAATTTTCTGGAAAATAACCAAAAATAGTTTCAATACCCAAAACATCGCTCTGCGGGAAAAGGACGGAGAAAATGACAACTCGCCGGAAAATGTACAACACAGTAGTTAGCAAACTGTCCCGATCGCAAATCAGAAGCTCAACTCGCCACACTTGCTGTGCCAGCCGGAAACAAAACGGAGAGAGAGAGAGAGAGAGAGAGAGAGAGAGAGAGAGAGAAGAGAGAGATTACGAGAGAGAGAGAGAGAGAGAGAGAGATTACACCGTTGACGATGGAGGCGCTGCGGCCGTTCTGCTATGATGAGGTCACCGGAAACGGGCAGAGGCAATGCTGCGTCGATCGCCAGAGAGAGGTCGTAGCTCGCCTACCTGCTGCGTTCACCGGAGATGAGAACTGAGAGGGAGATCGATGGCGCGACGGTGAGGAGGATCCGGCATGAAGAAGATTCGTCGGACCTGTCTCAGGTGACCAAAAAAACAAGAGAAAGAGAGAGAAGGAGAAGGGCCATGCGTCTGTCGCTGGACCAAGAAAGAAGAGAGAAAAACGAAGAGAAAAGAGAGAGAAAATAAAAAAAGGTTTCTAGCACATTCTAGGTAGTCCGGTTCGATTTGAGTCGAGTTTAGTCCAACTCAATGATTTGATCCGGTTTTCAGTTGATTTATGGATTTCTCATTAGGTTTGAAGATTTCAAACTGGTTTATGGGTTCAATTCTTATCATAAAAAATTATTTTCCATTAAATTCCATTGGTTAAAATTAAAAATTGATTTTTAAATGGAAAATTTATGAAAATCAATTTTTGGATTATTTCACTCAGATAAACACAAAATTCATTTTTGATATCAATAATTGGTATGGCAAGCGTGACACACCTCACAATTTTCAGACCAGAAACAAAATTTTTCTGTTCATCGTGTCTAATGTCTCTTTAAGAAATCCTGACTTGGAATGGAGGACGGACAACCAAGAGAGACTCGACGAGCAAACGTCGTCACCACCGCCTCGAGTACCCCATCCTCTAGTGGTAGCCACCTTGACTCAAGCACATGCGTAGTTCACTTCCGTGCTGGAACACCTGCTGGCTAAAACTCAGGAAAACAACGAGCAACACGTCTCAAACAATAAGGTCGATCGTAACCATGATAACCCTGAGCACCTCCTTCTCTCTAATGTATATGAGAGACTGAAAAACCATATACCTTCCTATAGTGACTCCCAACTGAACTTTTGGAAGCAAAATTAAAGCTCACTAGAACTCATTTGTGCCAGATACTACACCTAGCCTAGCCTGTGGTGAAAAACGCTGATTTTCGTAATGTTGATAAAGAAACTTTTAGAGAATGTAAAGAAAATGACGATACCGAAAACTTCAGACTCAAAAATGATTCGCCATTGTCACCAAACATATTGAGCTTGACCTTTGCACCCAAGTTCAAGAGGTAGGTAGGTATGGCCACCAGTACAGTTCAAACTGAAATCGAACCGTACTGTAGACGAACTAAAATCGGACCAGATTCATCGGTTCAAATTTTAAACCGGAACTGATGGTTCAAAGGGCGGTTAAGGTTCATATGAATGTTAAAATATGAACCTGAATCGGCCCGGAACCAGCAGTTAACCGGCGTGTCGATCCGGTTTGAACCGAAAATTTTCTATTTTTTATTTTTATTGGCAAAAATGATAATTACTTAACCTATTTTATACATTCTAAAGTAATCAAATTAATATTTCTACATGATATATTTTACTTATATTTTTTTTTAAAAATACATTTTTACTACTTTAAAGGTTTAAAATCTAAAAAAATAAATGAATAGAAAAAAGGGAGAATTATTTAGATTAAATTTATAATTGTTTTTAATTTTTTTACCGATTTTAAATTGTTTACTAAGTTTAAAAAATTACATTCTTAAGGCATTTTTTTCAAAAATTTTCTTATTAATTTATTTATTAATAACATTTTTATAATTTATTTAATTAATAACATTTTAAACAAAATAAAGTGATAATTTATTTGATTATTTTGTAAAATTAATTAATTTTATTCATATATGAGTATGAGCATTCTAAAATTTATTTAAAATAAAATTTAGCAATATTTTTTAAACTCATATTAATATTCATGAAAGAAAAATGTAACATTAGAACCAATTTTTTTTAAAAAAATATATATCGCCGAAAATCGGGATCTGAACCATCGATTCATCGGAACCGGCCGGAACAGGAAACGGACCAGAACCAACGGTTCAAGGGCTAGTTAAGGTTCAACATTTTAAAAATTTTGAATCAACGGTTCCGTGAACCAGAACCGGCGGTTCAATGAGCCGGCCATGCTTAGATGTTGGCTTTCCACGCTTACGCTGGCTCTACTGATCCCTGCAACCATCTAGCGACCTTCAGAACGATTATGTATCTGCAAACCAGCTTGGAAGATTTCATGTGCAAAGTGTTCCTGGTTGTGCTCAAAGGCGCTGCCCATGAGTGGAATCAGACATTAAAAACTAGCTCTAACCAATCTTTTTCCCAACTGTTAATACTATTTGGAGCTTGGATTATCACCAACACCCCTTTGAAAAATAAATTTCAAATGACATCATGATCTGAAGCGAGAAGAAGGAGAGTCATCAAGATAATACGTAACAAAATTTCAAAGATAGGCAATCCAAGTGGAACCTAAAATGACGAAGTTGCCATCAACGCTATAACAAAAAATTGTAAGTATAATAAACATTTCAAAAGTATAAGTATTGACCCTCCTCTATCTTTTGCAAAACTAATGGTCCGAGCTCATAAATATATAAAGCTTGATGAAGCTTACCTCGCATAGCAAAAAAGGTCTCCTCGAAATGCATACATAGTGGGAGATGATACTCACCTCCAATGAGGTGAAGATTACCCATTAGACACCTAAAACTAATTACCTAGTGAAACTCCCTATCATAGAGAGAGCAAGCTCACTAAAGATAGGGAGTTCACCCCCCTCAACAAACCACGCACTAAAACAATAGCATGGATAATGGAATAAGTTAACAAAGTGCAACAAAATTTTCTAAGAAAGCTGAAAGAAGATACTACAGGATACAGAGACAAGAGTAGATATTGCAAATTTGTAATACCCTCAATTTGGCAGTCTTGGATGTTCTGATTATTATGGTAATAATTATTATTCGAAAGGATAGAATAATTGAAATTACCTTAATTTGTTAACCATGAACTATTAATTATAAGATATGATATTTAATGGAAACCAATTTTGTTATGGAAATCAAATTGGAAGAATGTATAAGCTTTAGCTTTAATGATGAGAAGCTAGCACAAGAAACTCCTTAAGCTAGCACTTCGAATTAGCATTTAGTGGATTAATGTTAAATCATCTAAGACATTTGATTAAGGTCTAATTGCATAAAATCCTCAATTTGGTAATTCTCAGTATTCTAGTTTGTTCGGTAATTTCGATTATTCGAGTAATGAAAATCTGGAAAAATGAGAAACATTATAATTAGAGAGTAATAATATTAATTAAATGGAAGTTAAAGTAGTTATGAATTAATTTGAAAGATAAAAGGGAATTGAAAATGACATTATAATTAGAGAGTAATAATATTAATTAAATGGAAGTTAAAGTAGTTATGAATTAATTTGAAAGATAAAAGGGAATTGAAAATGAATAAAGAAGAATGATTTCTCGGTAAAGCATGATTTTACTCGAAAATCGATACTTTTGGTATGATGTTGCTTAAACAAGGGTGAGATTATTAAATATACCTGATTGCATCCTATTTAAGATGATTCATCAAGCACCTCTCGCTCATTTTTACTATCCATGATCGAAGCTCCAAGAAGAAAGAGAAAATTCTTAAGGGCAAGCTTAAAATGCATGATCTTTAAGGAATTTTCAAGTGATTCTTTTCTAAAGGTTAGTTATTTGCTATTCATTTTTCTTTTCCATGGTTTAAGTTTTGATTTTCATGAACTTTGGATTGAGATGCTTGCTTATTATTGTTGACTTGGTGAAGATGAAGTGATTAAAAGTGTTTTTAAGATGATCTATTATTATTAAGAATGGTTGAGTATGAATTTGGTGTCAAGGTTGTATAATTGAACAAATTGGATGATTTAGGTATTTGGTTGATTCTCAAAGGATTAGAAATTTCGAAATATGAAAGATTAGTATGTTAATTAGGTGTTAGAAGAGTTTATATGCATAAATTAATAGTGGAGGTGTGTTAAGGATGCTTAAGGAAGTAAGATATTCTTAAGCTTATTACTTGGAGCTTCCTAGAAATTCAGCCAATGAGATGGACTTAGTTAAATAGGTAATTGAACTTCAAAAATTATGAAATTTTATAAAGAACTATATTAGGATGTTGGGAAGTTTGTGGTAAAAGGACAAGTGCAGTGGATAATAG